TCTTTGAAAGATTTGTAGAACACTCTAAAGTGTTGCTGATTCTTTGACTTTTTTATAGAATGGTTAAGAATGAAAAAGTCAGCTTATGCTGCCAATATTTACACATTTGAGTGTATTTCTCAATCAAGCAAATACTTTTATCGAAATGTTTTTCGATCAAAAGCATAAATATCATAGTCACGTATTATAGAAAACGGCTCTTGTCGAAATTTTACTATTATAAAATTAATTGAAGAATAATAAACTATTGCAAAAATACAGAGCATTTTGTGTAATGTCAACACAAAGAGAGAAAAGTTTCCTAAAGCTTTCTACAAGGCACTAAAGTGTCACTGCCATTAGCATATTTCTCTAATGAGATAATGAAAAGAAGAACAAATTTTGGATTGTCGAACTCTTCACACTATTTTTAATGAATCTTTTTAAATAATCTTATATTAATAAAAGATCCTACCATCCGTATGATATGTTTTTGTCAAATTGTGTATTATTACTTTCATAAAAATAACAAACTATATGGTTAATATGTAAATCAAATATATGCATCATAGTCAAAGGAGCATGATTACTTTGTATTTAAAAATTTTTATCATTTCTTTTATATTAAAAAGAAATAATCGGTTTCATGTACTAAAGCTAAAAATCGGTACCATATTCATGATAGAAATATCGAAATTTCGAATTCGTCTCATAAATAAATTATATTTGAATATTTAAATCGAAATTAAAAAAATAATAATATAACCAAAAGGATTTCTATAATGGATGCACCAAAAGTTTTGCATCAGTTTTTTTTTTGTCTTCTTCATATCAATGTATGAGTATTATTGAGAGTCAATTTTTTTTATTTAAAAAAAGAAACATTATATAATCTCTTCTACAAACTCTTTTTTTTTGCAAAATATGTTAGTTCGACATATCAATTTTAAGTTACGTAAAATGTTCTACTCAGCGTGAAGGCTAAGAAGGTAGTGTCTCTACAAGAACCGGGTTGACCTTCGTGAAATTTGTGGTTATTGTAGCACGTGCTATGTGTTTATACCTTCAAAAATAGGTGTTCACCTTCCTGCTGTGATAAACCGCTCATCCGGAAGGACAAGTCTAGATAAAATATTGGCTACGAACTCATTACTTTGATTCTTACAAAAGAACATGTTTGCAATATAAAAAAAAAGTACATGAAAAATAGAGATAAGAAATCTGGTTGTAGGCATTGATGAACCCTTCACGAACATTATAAAAGAAAATCATCTAACTAATTTTAACTTGCAAATTGTCGAAATGATAGCAAATATTCAAATTTCGAACTATAGTAAAGATGATTTTCGAAGAAGTATCGAAAAGTTCGTATAATTCTCTATAAAAACATGTTGTACTACGATTGTAATAATTGTTTGACACATGATCAAAATTATGATTTTAAAATCGATAAAAATTCTGACGTCGCAAAATATTACTATTATTTTCTAAGAATATTATCGATAGACTTTTAAATCGACAATTTATTCATTTATTTTGATTACAATTTATTTCGAGTTAGAGAAAAAAAACAAAGCAAAATACACTTTTAAGAAAATTACAAAGTAGTCTCTCAGTCATTCAGTAATGATATTTTAAGAACAACAAAAAAAATTTATATTTTGATAGTTAATAAAAGACGTGAGTGATATGTTACGTGTCATTGTAATAAAACAAAATGTGTTAAAACTATTATTCACTAACTTAAGCAGATAGTTATAGAGTAATCTCATTGAGCTTCAGTTTTTTTGTTTGCTTTAATCTTCGGATTATTTGCTACATTGATCAATGTTAACACATTTTACACTCATATATGGTTTTTAATATAATAATACTAGATAAATAAATCTTGTACAAATCTCGATTAATTATCTAATTGAGTTTCCTACTAAAAAAAAAATTTATTTATTAAGAATATAAATCATCATCATCATCATCATGATCACAGAAGAAAGATAAAAAATAAAAAAACCTTGATAGCTTTGTGTTTCACTCATCAGGCTTCATAGAAACGGTCACTGAAAGGGGTAGTATGACATTCTTAAATGATTTGTAAAAGAACACACAGGTAGGCAATTTTTTTACAAAAAAAAAAGATAGTACCTAGTAAGAATGGAGTAGGGTATCATGGCCTGTATTTCAAAGTACCTGGAAAACGATATGTATAGTATTTTTGAAATCTGACTCTTAGTCTATCATGTAGCGATCTAATCAAGAGGTACTAGGATGGCTAAGCCCCACAACCACCGATCAAAGTCATGCCAGCTAAAATCTACTACCATCATTAGAAAGACTTTGGCTTTCAGAAAGCTTCGTCTTGTTAGACGCTTCACCGTTAAAACCCTAGTTACGCTACAAATATTATACTATAGAAAACATTTGATTGTATTAAATATAGAATAGATTTTTATTTTATTGTTTATTAAAAATTTCCAAAAGAACGATTTTACACATTATTTTATGTAAAAATAAAAAAAACTTTTGCTACGGACAATTATCTTGATGACGATGCATACGTGTGAGCAATTATATAAATATACATTTTGACTCTATACAAAAAATATTTTATTGATTGTTTTTTTTTGTTATCTTTGTTTATTTTTTGTCTTATGTTAGTTTGTAAAATAAATTATATTATTCATTATGCGATCGTTTACTTTCATAGTTTTTATGTTGACATTTATTTACATCTAATAATTTTTCATAAACAGAGGCTTTTAATTAACTTTTTCCTTTCTTTTACATGACGTGTTCTGAACAAGGTTTTTGCGACCTCATAGTCACAACAACATTCTATCTCTCAAAACAAAAAGTATGATGAGCATACAACCGTATATATTTATCGTCCTTTCAAGATACAGAACAGATAAAAAAGTGCATACTCAATATTTGAAAAGTGCGATCATCGTTATTATTGACAAAATCTGTCTTACTTGTTCGTGACTATTTAACCTTGATATGAAATACGTTTAATTTTCAAAAACTCTTGTAGTACTGGTGTGATCTTATCATTTTATTTATTTAATCATTCTATTAAATTTAATACCATTATATAAAACAAAAGACTATACATTTAAAAAATAAACAAATCAAAAGTACTAAATATTTGACTTAATTAAAAAAATAAATGTCTTCATTACAATCATCACCATCAATATTTCCACTACCATCCCCAAATCATACCGATGATTTATTTAAAAAATTTAAACTTAAAAATTATCGTACAATACAAACTATGAATGAAAATGATGATCAAATGAATGTGGATAGTTCTGATGAATCAACATCTTTATCTTTATTAACTGAAGTTAGTGTTGAAGTAGATTTTGAAAAATATTATATGAAACAAAACTTACAATTAACTGATACAAAATCTCCTTCATGTTTATTAACACCAGATATTGATGATCTTCAACAGAAAGAAAAAAAACTTTTACAATCGCTTAATCCGATTGATTTGCAGGTTGATTAAAATATTAATAATCTAGAATTAAGTTTGTGTTTTTTTTTCTATTATTGTCTCTTTTTAGATTGCACAAGATCTATCATCAATTGAAAATCAAGCAAAACCAATGCAATATCAAAGAAAACCATATATACAATGTGAAATTTGTCATGATAAAGCAACCGGAATACATTATGGTGTAACAACATGTGAAGGATGTAAAGGTATTTATATATTTAGATTTATTTTTTTTTTGCACAAAAAAGAATAACTTCCTTATTTGTTATTTTTGAAGGATTTTTTAAACGAACAGTTCAAAATAAAAAAATTTACCGTTGTATTAGAAATGGTTCATGTATAATTGATAAATTACAACGTAAACATTGTCAACACTGTCGTTTTACAAAATGTTTAGAAAAAGGTATGGTTATTGGAGCTGTTCGTTATGATCGAATGCCTGGTGGACGAACATCATCTAATCTTGCTCTATTATATAAAGTAAATATTTCTTTGAAAAGAAAAAAAAATTCAATTTTTTATTTTTGCGTAGTATAATAAAGAAAAAAATAATTGTCAAAATCGACAAGAATTTAATAATTCACTTGAACAAATAATTATTTCTGATGTTGAACTTAAAACAAATATAGAAAATCAATTAAATCAATCATTAGCTATACATTCAAATATTAAAGTTACATATAATTTTGATCAATTATCTATATTGAATACATTATTTGATCATTTAAAACCATTAACTGATAGTTCAATACAATTAACAGATGAATTAATAAAAAAAACTTCACATTTATTAATTGATTCATTTATATCATGGTATCGTTCATTATCATTTTATTCATTATTAAAATTTAATTTAAATCAATTTATATTAAAAAATCGTTGGTCAAAATATATTTTTTTAGCAATATGTCAATTTTTAGCAATAAGATATAATCATATAAATTTAATATCATATGAACAATGTTTACAACGTTTAATTGAATATCAACAAAAACAAATACTTTCATCAATATCCTATGAAATTATTCATCAATTTTTAAATTTTTTATTATATTTAATTAATATAAATTTAACAAATACAGAATTTACATTATTAAGTATATTAATTGTTATTCAATATGGTAAAAATTAAAACATTTTTCTTATTCATTATAAAAAAAAATAATGATCTTTATTTTTATTTATAGACAAAACAAATACAACAATCGATCAAAATGATTTAATATCACTTGAACAAGTTTATTTTAAAAGTTTACATGAATATGAAAATGAATTAGTTTCATGTAAAGCAATATATCGTTTAAATCAATTATTATATATACGTGAGCAAATCAATCATTTAACAGAATTACTTCTTAAAGAAAGTCACTTTTTTTTTCCATATTTATTGATTCCTTATTAATTAATCATCTTTTTCTTTTCTTAATTATTGTTTTTTTTTTCCTATATGGTTTTGTAAATATATAAATGAAATAAAAAAATAAAATTCAATCAATATGTATACACATAAATATAAGTTTTATTTAGCAGCATTTTTAAAATATAATAATAAACGTGAACCTCGAAGTAAATCAAGTAATTCATTTAGAAAATTTATTATTGTTGTATCACGTTCTTGACGATGTGATGCAAATACAAGTGTAAGTGTTATACGTGGATCAATATTTTGAAGAAAATATGTTTTTGTTTGATTCTAAAATGCAAAAAAACAAAAAACAAATATGAATCGTTGTCTAGGCTAAAAAAAAACAAATTTTGGTCATAAATTATTGTTTATTTGTTTTTCTTTGACATTGAGTAGTTTTTTTTTAAACAGTGCTTTTCACAGTGAATAATGTATGTTATATATGCACACTTGTATCAAGGTGAATAATCATATATAAGAATGACTTGTCATAGATAATTAAAATCTATTAAATGTTAAAGTAACCTGACCCTGATGAAGAACATTACTTTTGTTCTATGAACGAAAGAGTTGTTGCCCTTACAATGATGTTCATTTTTTGACATTCATATCATAACCTACTTAAAAGACTTTCAATACATAAAAAAAAGATCATGATAATAAAAACTCTATTATAAAAAAAGAGACTAATTTTATTCATATGTTCAACTTGTCAAAAAAAACTATTAGTAATTATGCTCAAGACATTTATTTTATCGTGGGAAGAATGTTTAGATCTTAATCTCTTTAGACAATGTTGTACCCTAAAAGATAATTCTATTTCAATTATCTATTTTTATAAAGGCCTTTAGATAAGTTTGACACTGATAGTAAATATAATACATGTTTTTTTTTTGCCTCAATCGAAGATAAGAATTACATGTATATATTATAATCATTCTTTTCATTTGGTTTTAAAATAGAAATAAACTACATACGGTATCTCCACTATAGAATATTTTTTCACCACTTGTTAACATTTCATGATTAATTAAAGCTTTTGTAATCATTTGTTGTGCGATTTCATCTGTCTAAAAATAAAAGAAAATGATATAATTTTTTTTCTTGAATAAATTATTTTTCAACACATCACGAACTGAATTTGGTTTATGTGGATAACCAAATATAATTTGATACGGTTTATTATCATTAAAAGATGTTACTGGTTGAATTAAATGATAATCAGCTATAAAAAATAAAGATAAATATGTATTCAATTTGATAAAGAATCTTTTTTTTTTGTTTCTTTCGGTTACCTAATTGATCTATTTGACTAGAATATATGGGCTGTTTAGTTTTATGTAATATAAGTGTAATCCATTCAACATTTGAACGTCGATAGAATTGTGCAATACGTGCAGTAAATTCAGGATTTGTTTTTCCCATTGGTGTTTTAGCTTCTACACCACCATATTCATATAAAATATCATTGAAATAAAATGTAAACTTAAAAATGAAAACATTTCTTTTATTAGAAAATGTTTAAAAAAAAAGAACAATCAATATTACTTTTGCAACAAGTAATTCATGAAATTTTGAATAAAATGTATATAATGCTGGTTTAGTTGGTGATTTAAAAAAATTTAATGGACTTGTACTTGATAATATAAAACGATGATTTGTATTTTGTTGATTTTCAATATTATCATGCCATTCTTTTAATACACAATGCATATTATGTAATGTTGATATACCATTCATATATTGATAATCAGCAATAAATACATATGATTGTATTAATAATAATAAACAATCGGTTTCATGTCTTAAAAAAAAAATAGTTTTTAAATAAATTTATTTTCTTCAATTTTTATTTTTATTTACTTTAATAGTTGAAGTATTGGACTAAGTACAGAAATATTTAATGGAGACATATCAATTTGAGAGATATGTGTAATTTCATCAATATAATTTTCTAGACGAACATTATGTTCATTACGTTTGACAGCACTAGAAATTTGTTCATATCTATAGTTTTAAATATAAAAAGAAAAAAACAAAATAATTATATTAATAAATATAAAAATATCATACATTACAATTTCATTAGATTTGTTCGAACATTAAGAAATGTAATAAGACCAGCAGTTAATTGTTGAATATAATTTGTTTCTTTTGTATCATCTGTCATCGATTGTGTTGTATTATTTTGTTTACTATTTGACTAAAACAAAACAACATAGTTTTACAAAAGAAAACAAAAAAAAAAAACCAAAACTTCAAAAAATTTACCTGTAGTTCAATTAATGACATATGAAGATCAGAATAACATTGAAGTAAAGATTTCTATTAAAGAAAATAAAAATTTGAAATTAAAAAAACAAAAAAAAAAATTTAATTTTAAATTTCTATAACACATACATCTTTTCTAATAATACTCAAATTTCCTTTTGGACCAACAACAAAACCAAAATTATGATAAGTTCGTTCATATTGTACTAACATAACAAAATATTGAAGAAAATCACTATTCATTTTATTACCATCTTTTTCCTAAACAATTAATAAATGAAATTCAATTTTTAAATACAAAAAATTTTGTTTTTTTTTTCTGTTTACATACTAAAAGTTCTTTCGCTTTATCAAATGATAAAATAGCTAAATAATTAAAATATCGTTCGTGTAAATTATCCCATTTAGTCATTCTTATACTAAAAAAAAAACAAATAGAAAATAAAATATCTTTTTATCATCATCGATCCTTTTTTTTTTTTTATTTTTATTTTAGAAGAACAAAAAACATTTATCACAATTTTTTTGATCCATATAAATGACGAATAGAGTCATTATATCCTTCACGATTACGTGCGATTTCAATAGCATAAAATTGAATTCGTACAACTAAAATAAATTTCATAGAACAATTGATTTTTCAATCAAACCAAAAAAAAAAATAAATACTTACCTAGAAATGTATTTTCATTTGTATATTCACCTTTTGAATCTGTACGTACAAGTGTACCATAATTATATTCGTCAATCAAATCTCGAAATTCTTCACAAAATGGTCTCCATAACTAAGAATGAAAACAAAAAAAAAAAAAAAAACAATTTTATTTCTCTTTTTTAATTACTTGTTTTTCTTCGTTAGATTTAATTTTATTTTCATCAAGTACATCAATTTTAAAATCAGGAAATAATTCACGAAAACGAGAATATATTTGATCATCATGACGAGATAAACGTAATTGTTTTGGATCAACAGCACAAAGTAACTAAATAACAAGAAGATAAAAAATTTAAAGAAAAAAAAAAGAAAAATATTTTTCTTTTTGTTTACATTAAAATATGTTTCAGCATGTTGAAATGCTTTCATTGCCCATTGTTGTTCAAGCATTGGCTAATGAAATATCAAGAATACTTATGTAATATTAATAAGAAAATCAATTTTTTTTTTAAATATTTTACATCATTCCCATAATCTTCAGCTGATGTTGATGGAAGAGTAACATTGGATCCTTGTTTATTATCCAAATCCTAAATAACTAAAAAAGTACAGATTATTCTCATTTAAAAATAATAATTAAACATTTTTTTTTGTATTATGAGAGATCTTCATCATTTAATATTCAATAGTTTCTATATGCTACTTGCATAAAAGTAAGATTACATCAATTATCATACCAAATCATGTAAATTCGATGAATTTTCCATTGACATAAATATCTACAGTAATGAAACAAAACTTACACATTACTTTTCATTGTTCAAATAAAATACATTATAAAACAAACACAATTTTAAACCAATATAGATAATATTTATTAAGTTGTATTGTTTTTTAAATAACATAAATTAAGAACTTGATTTGACAAGAACAAGAAAAAAAAAACAATAGCAAATACATACGCACAACACAAAATGAGTACACAACAAACATCCTAAATAAATATCTACTTATCTCTTATTGCTTTTTTTTTTTTTAAATTAGATGGATAATATAAAGTGTTTATAATACGTGACACATTGACAAAAGAAAAGAAAAAAAAAAGAAAAATGATAGTTCTACATTTGTTGTTATAATTATTATTAGTAGTAATTTGGTCCCTCTAATCTACCATTCTTTCTTTCTTGCATCTAATGATACACCACCTGGACCAAGTGCAACAACATAAAGAAGGCCACCAATAACCGACATTGTTTGAAAAAAATCATATTTTAAAAAATCATGTAATGCTCGATGATTTGGTACAAGCCAAAAACAATTTGAATAAAAATTCACAACTGTTAAATATGCAACAAGAAATAATGCTGATAATTTTGTTTTAAAACCAATAGCAACAAATAACATTGATATACCACCAATTAAATTTTGTATTATTGATGTAAATGATAATTCATAACGAACAATAGTTAAAAACATAATAACTAATAACATACGACCAGCTAATTGCATATAATTTTTTGGTGCATTATTATGTATTGTTGGTACACCAGCAAATAAACTACGAGCTTCTTTTCGACTTTCTACCATTAATAATATTAAACCACCAACCAATGAACATGATCTAAGAAAGAAAAAAAAATATATATATATAAAATATTTTATTGTTGTAATAGAATTTTTTTTTGATTATTATTAGCAACAATTTTTATATGAATTGTTTTTTTTTTTAGCAATCATGTTTCGGAGGATTTTTTTTTTTTTGTATTAATTCTCACTTTAATATATATATATACATAAATGTTTAAGGAGAATGCCATAAAATGCAATAACCAAATGGCTAAAAATAAAATGGTTATATAATAATAAAATATATTACCTAAGTAAAAATCGAGGTTCCCAAATAATTTGATATGAAATTGACTATATAGAAAAAACAAAAGTAATTGTAAAGTTTGTCAATTGAAATATGTAATATTTATGTATGCAATGAAACTAAGAATTTGTATTTAAAATAATTTTATTATTCGAATAAAATTAATTAATGATTGAATTATTTTAATATTTACTTATTAGGATAATTAAAATCGGGCTGTTAAATTTCGTTGAGTATGTTAGCATTTTATGCATGTGTAATCGAATAGCAATGTTTACTGAAAGTATATTCTTTCATACAAAAAACTTTTACTAGGGACATTAATAGAGAGGGGGATCGATCTCGTAGTGCTGCAGCGCTCACAATGTGATAAATTTTCGATTGCAATAGACATCTGTGATTCTATATTCGTATTGACATTCGTGTTAAATACTCAAAGTAAATTGTGTGTTTGTGTCGACACTTCATTTGTTATAATTAATGTCAAATATATGTATAATGTATATAAACACAAGTATTTTCTTTTACTTTATGATATACATATAATAGTATCCAATGCAATACTTTCTTAGCAAATATTTATCAAATATAATAGATAAAACACAGAATGATATTAGTATATATTTCGTAGTGGACAAAATATCTAAGAGTGATATAGAAAAAAAGGTAGTACAACAATTAACAGCAGATACTTTTTACAATTCTAATAACAATAACGAGTTCGAAGTTGATAATAAAATTCCTATTGTTTTTTTTTTCTTCATTATCTATAAATCTAAATTGGACTATCATTAGTAAGATACGTGTCAAAGATGATGATATTAGATTATGTGTCAAATCAACTAGCAACGAAAGTTTTTTTCATTATTAAATATAGCTATTAAGAGAACTATGAATTCCTTCGGCAACTTATCTTTTTCTAGAACTCATATACTATGGACAAAAATCAATCACTCTGCCAACACGGATAACTGTCATATTTAGAAATGGATCAAAGTGTTTATTACCATTATTGTGCTCTATTTTCAAGGAAAACGAGCAGTCAATGTTTCTATCACTTCGTTAATAGACCATTAAAGGACACTTAATTATTTATCGAATCATCATAAATGTACAAAATATAAAGTTTTTATTATTGAAGTCATCGAAAGTATCAATAGTTATTCTTTCTAAATTTCAATTGTCAAATATCGGCATCGTTAGCTACTAACAAGTGCTTATTTTATATCATGATATTAATTAAAACATATTTACATAGTCCGAAAGGTGATGAAAGATTTGATAGTTTGACTAATATTCGTACTCATACGAAACATCGATCAATAACAACATGTTGATGAATTTGCTAAATCTAAACCTTGGTTCACTTTGACGAATATAATTAGTATCATATCTATCGTACACAAGCAAAAGTCTCACCAAAACTAAATGGAAAAAAAGTTGATTTCCTATCTCTATCCAAAAATCTGTGAACGTGCAGTTTTAGTTTACAGACTATCGACTTAGTGTAGTTGGTGCATATTGATATCTACTGAAATGCACCATTACAAACAAAAAGGCACATTTGAGAAGATTTTAGAGTTTCAATGTTGCAGCAAACGTGGATGTTACTACTTCAGTAAGTCCTATGTCAATATTTCTACTAACATGACATATCTTAAACTTCTACTGCAAATACTTAGTCAAAATATTCAGTAATGAACGAAAAGAATGATTACCTAGACAAAACACTAATGTCATGCACAAATCAAAGGTTTTTATTAAATTTTCATAATAATTTTTATCAAAAACTTACGAGTTATTAATGAATTATAACCATTTTTGAAGACATTAGTGCTTTAGAAAAGAGTTTCAAAAACTTTGCTAGACTAAACCTTAATTGATAATTATCACTGATCTGTAAATAGTACACTACTTTCTGATTCTAATTCTTAAACTATTATAATTACAATAAGTCTAAATCTATAGCAATGTTTAAAGAGTTCCTATATCGAAGAAATTCTTTTAAACATTGTATTCTTCTCATTCATACATAAAAAGTCTCTTTTTGATTGATATCAGATAGAATAAAGTCAAAAATATTTTTTGTTTTTAAATAGAAAAATTATATTTAGCAATTATGATTTCTCTAATAAAACTAAAAACTTGATCCACCTAGAAATAATAATCTACAAGAAAATAGTTTCTTTTCTCTGTTAAATGTTTCATAAGGAATGGGATACTTTTCTTGAGTAGTATATATATAGTTTAGAAACTTCGTTCTTAACTCATTCGATAGAGAACTTTTCGCACCATAAAATTGCATATTTTATTTAAAAAAAAAAACAGATTCATAATTCATTCTATAATATACGATAAAATTTTTTATATCTGCATGAATTCGATCAATTAAAGCATGTTTATTGGCTACACTATTCATCTCAGATTGAAAAATCGAACGAATCACGATTATAGCTTTCAGTTGTCATACAATACGATTGATAATATTTCATTGGATTTTATCTTCCTTGATAATAATCAGATACGTGACGCCATCATAACACGTTCCTAACGGTACCATGACAAAACTTTGTTTCCTGATGGATTCTTCCACTTGCATCAGCTTGGTGATAATTCAGAGTCCATATGCTGTCATTTTTGACGATTTTCTTCTACTATTTTTCATAGATAAAGATTTTTTGGTGACATTTTTTTTTTCGAGTTCATATGCAAAACAAGAATCATTTTTCGCTGTTATGCATTTGTTAGTTTTTAAGTAACACATTTGTATACATGATTTGAAATTGAAATCAATTTTCATTATTCTTTACATGTGCATCTGATGATGTCAATCTTTTGTTTCGACTTGTATTTATTTCCAAATGAAATTTATTTAAACATTTTAATTCGTCTGTAAACTATTGATTTCCTAATTTTACTAGGAAATTATTTCGTAATCTATCGATGACTACTTTTAGAAAACAAAAGAACTATCTTTAAGTACAATTTACTTGTTTTTATAGAGCAAAAAAATTTTATATCGAATGAGTTAAAAATGAAATCTCTACATTATGTTTGTCCTATTCGAAAACAAAAAGAAAAGTTCAATTTCACTTATCATAAATCTTCTTTATAGATATGTATTAAAATAAAAACTTACTTGAAAACCAATAATAAAAACTAATATTCCACAAGCAATATCAATTTTTTTTCTTGTTAATATCATTGCACATGGTATAAGTTGACCCAATAAATTAATAATAACAAAAAGTGTTCCAATAAACCATCCAACATTCCAACTTTTCATAATATAATCTCTTTGTTCACTCCATTGCATCCACATACGAATACCATCTTCAATAAATGTTGATACTAAACAAAATCTTGCTACATGTGGTAATACATATTTCGTACGATGAAGAAACTATTAACAACAAAGAAAACAAAAAACAAAACATCTATAAATTTAAATATTCTATTTACCATATCAGCATAATCTTCTGCTTGACTTGTCCATTGTTGACGTTGTTTTGGTGTAACTAAATTCATTATAAACTAATAATAAAGATTTACTGTTTTTTTTTTTTTTTCGTCTTTGTATAACACTATGTTCTAAATATATCCACGAGTTAACTTTAGAATATATCTGTTAACGTGGTTCTACGCGTAAACTTATATTTATGATTGGTCAATAACTGACATGATTATCTCTTGATTGGAAATATTTTACAAAAAAACTAAATCTTTCAAACAAATTAAAATTTTTTATGTAATATGAAGAAAAAAAATAAGTCAAATTTATTAAAATATTTTATTATAATTCTCATAATAGAGGGCATTACATACTTAGCAATCCATAGTTTTCAATATAATGATATGGAACGGGTAAAAATTCGATAGAACGGAAAACGACAACGAAAT